GAGCGGAGGCTCCGTCAACACCACTCCTGCACTTGCCACGTCGTCCACATACACCCTTCCCAATGGCCAACCCGAGGCCAGAGGCCAACCCTCTGCCTTTACCAGCTTCCCTATCTTAGGTCTCAGAGAACATTCTGACACACCCAACACCTTTCGTGACCCTCTCCAGCAACAAGTGATTCCGCCTCTCTGCTCGCTCACACAACCACAACCCTCAGCGCCCTGCTCTCAAGAGCCACACAATCCTGGTGTGAGGAGAGTCTCCCAGCTCTTCAGCAACCCTGCTCTTCTCTCAGAGATCTCTCCCAAAATCTCTCCAGATTTTCCAAGGCCGTCGTTTTAAACCTTTTTTGTTTCCTTCTGTCTTCTACTCCACCAGCCCCCTCAGGAACGGGCTGTCTACGGAGAAGACTGAGGGCATTGGTGCTGTCTGCTTCCCTCCATTAGACTCAAATTTGATCTGTTGTTACTTCCTTTAACTGCCCTGCCACCTCAGATGAGGTCCCCTTGTCCCCTTTCTCGTGTGTTCTTCAGCTGCTCCTGATCTCCTCAAAGACTCTGATCCTGTCTTCCTGATGCTTTCAGTGTGTCCTTTGGCTTCACCTCCTCATCCTGTGCTGAACACAAAAATGGCCAGACTCCTAGGAAGGGCGGCTGCTACTCACAGCCCCACATCTAAACCCACAGTCTGCGGCCACCACCCTTCTCAAATGCTCTCACGGCCTCCCAGACACCCACGTCGGTGGCTTTCCTTGGCCCACACCCATCTTCTCGACTCTTCTGTGACACCTCAGACTCAACACAATCCAACCTGGACTCCATATTCCTCTCCTTCCTGTCCCTTCCCTGCTGACTGCTTTTCCACTTCTCCTAGTGAGACCAAAGTCCTCCTGGTCGTCCCCACCTCGATTCAGTTATCAAGCCCCCTTCTTTCCAACATTCTCACGGCTGTGTCACTCGGGACCCCCTTCTCCATGGCCACAGCCATTAGCGTCTCTACTCAGGCCCCATGTGCTTCAGCCGACACACTACACCAGCTTCCTGGCCTCTCCTCTGTTCCCCGTGCTGACAAAGCCTTCACTGACCCTCAACTGTCTAGGCAATAAAATTCTAGTATTTTAGCCTGAGAATTAAGGCCTTCTGAGAGCTGGCTCTAAGCTTCTATTTCCAGATGTCGTGACCTCCCCGCTCTTCCATTTCACTTCATATGCTTCATGTTTCTCTCAAGTTCTGGTAGGACTCACAGTGCCCAGGACCTGGCCCGCATTTTTCACCCCCACACCTGCGATCAGGCCAGTCCATGCACTTGCAGTGTTCAACACGGGCCTTACTTAACTGAAATCCTAGTTTTCTTTTTCAGGATTTGCCCATCACTCATCACCCCCCACACCCCACACCAGACTTCCAGAGTTCAAATATGCTCCTCTCCTTCTTGCTTTTATCCCATGCTCTTCAACATGACTGTTACCTGTGCACCGGCCTCACTGTCGCTATTAGATTTCGAGTTCTTGGGGACGGTGAGGACAATAACAATTATAAGGGTAACCCTCAGCACACATGCTTCTACCATGTCCCAGCTCTGGGAAAGCATGTACCTTCATCTGAGCAACCCTACTGGACAGTCTACCCTCAGACGAGATTTAGAAACATGAGAAAAGGCCAACACCCAGGAAGTGGTAGAGCCAGAAACTGAATTTAGGGGCTTGTCTGACTTCAAAACCAATGCCCTTAACTACTAGGTGGTATTTCTCACCACCCATAGACTTGACTGATAACTGCTGAATAAAACATCTTCTCCACGAGTCCTAGTAGGTACGACAGCCGGCTTTCCCAGAGTTGTGGACTCTGCCTAGTCAACACGTACACTACCAGGGAGAAGGCACGGACAGCTCAGGCTCTAATTCTTAAAGGATGATTAAAAAAAAAAAAAAAAAAGAACAAAGTTTTTATTACTTGAGACTTAAACAGAACATCAGGTGCAAGGTGAGAGAAAAATCTAATTCACTTGGATTAGGGAATAACCTGGTTTTGTCTCTGTCCTTAGAACTATTGAGGTCATTGAGGCAATGAATCAAGGCCACCCCAAAAGCCCTACTTAGATCATTTAGACCGTGTTCAGAGAGAGCATCCAAAATTCTGTTTTCTGAGGATGTGACATCAGCCCTGGGAACACACGATGACTACACTCTGCTGACAAAAGTCAGGACCAATGTAAATGTGAGGTCCTACTGTATGCATGTACCAGAAAATACCGTATGGAGCACATGGGCTCGGCGGAAGAGGAGTGGTAGCTGTGCTCTGTGTGTGCGTGGCCAAGGGCTGTAATCCTCTGAGGGGAATGTCATCATGCAGCTCAAATCCCATCACAACAAATACCGTTACAACAGAAAAATCTGTGTAACAAAAATCCTTTCAAGCTTTGGCTGACAGTCCATGTACTTCAAGCAATATTTGATGTGAGATTTGGAGTTCACAGTAATGGGAATTGACCTATATTTCCAAAGGTAAGATTTGAATGATTTCATCTGTAACTTCTATCCCATGATACTACGAGTGGGAATGATGTACAATCTAAACCCATGAGTGTCCAAACTAAATAAACAAAGGCAGGAACCAAATCAACCTTGCTTGTGAAGGGCAGGATTCCTTCCTTTCATTCGGGGAGCATTTAGATAAAGGAGAACGTCCCTGGCCCACACCCCGAAACGGAACAGAATGAGGTTGGTTTGAGGCCTCATCCGAGTGAAGTGAGCACACGGAGGGAGAGCACATGAAGACGGGCTACGCCTCAATTCCTACTCTGCCACTGACTAGCTGGGTCAACTGGGCTATGTTTCTCAACTTTTTTCACAGAGCCTCAATGTTCTCATCTGTAAAATGTGACGAAGAGCAACTACTTTCAGGATTTTGGCAAGAACGAAATGGAAGAAATCCTAAAATAGGGCCTGGTGCAGAGCGCTTGTGCTCAAAGAAGTTCACTCCTTCATGGGGCCTCCTTGCCCCTCCAAGACTCTGGGCTTAAACTATTTAAAGGGATTTCGTTACAAGACTCAGTGAATGAAGTTAACAAAATGTATAGTCTCAAATGTAGCCTGGTAAGGACAGTGCTCAGAGGAACACTGGGGATGAGAGAGAAAATGGTAGAACCAGACCATGCACACTTTCTTGACTGAAAGAAGGATCTTTCTGGCTAAGGCAAGACATGTGTGAAAGCTAAAACCCAAGTATTCAAGCAATAATAAACGGGCTTTGATCACTATGTCAAAGGTCGTTCTGAAAAATACTGAGCACTGAAATCTGGAGGCACGTTTTCCTGGACAAGGTTGAACTCATGCTTGCTGCACTCCTGGTTTGCTGCCCCGGCCTCGTTTTCCATGAGTGCTATTCTAGATGGTGGGATGGCCTTTCTGGTGACTCTCTGGCTCTAGTCTGTTGCACTGTACTGGTCCTCAGTAGGATACTACACAAATTAATGCAATATGATCCACAAACATCTCAACATTGCCCCAATTTGTGATGTCTTACTCCTACCGATTTTCAGATATATATATATATTTTTTAATTATGGGACAATCAAATTTGTGGTGACAAAATTCCCCTAAGTTATTTTGAAAACATTCTTGGTGTTACATGGCCTGAGACTGAGAACGGAGTCTTATGAACCTAATCTGAAGGCATGTCTGCTCGGCCTTATAAAGTGAGTATGGGCTTTCACATTCTTTCAAAGGTTTCCAAATGTGCGCTCAGATCTCAGCAACCATAGACAACAAGAGACAGCCCGGCATTTCTAAGAGTCACAGAGCATCAGTCTTAACGATTATTTAGTCCTAGCCCTTCACCTCGACAGTAAGAAAGAGAAAAGTGTGTGCTAACATGCATGGGTTCAACTGAAGTATACATACAAGCCACACGATGAGTTTGCAGGAGCTCTCATGAGAGGCGACACAGAAACCAATTAATAGGGCAGACAGAAATTCCGAGGTGCAGAGAAAAAGGAAGTGCAAGATCCCCTGAAAGACGGGGGGCCCTGGTTAGACAGCCCAATAAATCAAAAACAGAAAGAACAGAAATACTAAGCAAGGCTGAAACATCGACAAAGACCTAAAGGGAGCAGCAGAGAAGATATTTTAAATTTAGTTTGCATGAAGCTTACAGAGGATGACTCCAAAACACAGAAGCTCCCACCACCCCGTGAAGAGGTTTCTGCTCTCTATTTTAATAACTGGGCCCTCCCCCTCCCCCCCATCACCCCTGCCTTAAAATGGAGGCAGTAAAAACCAGCAGGTTGTACACTTGAATCCTACCACTGGTAAGGGCGTAAACCACAAGCAATTTTAAGGTGTGCTAACTATTTCAGGCCACTAGGGTGCTTCTTCCCGCCTGAAAAGGCACATTTCACTTAAGGATCCCCATTTAAACCTCAAGAACTGATGTCCCTCTCAAAAGTGTGCCCTTTATTCCTGATACCAGGAATACCGTTAGCACACTAACGGTTCAGAAGGCATTTCAGGGTCCCCGCAGGCTACGGAAAAGTAAAATGCAATTGTAACCGCTCGGGCAATAATGGGGAGGCACGGGTGGAAAGAGTTAGCTTGGGAAATGCGAGGCTCAGAGACACGGTTCCTTAGAGAGGCAGCTGCTCCACCCGAGAGAAGCCTAGAAAGTGACCTCGGGAGAGCCATCACGCGCCTGCACCGAGGCGCGGCCGCGGGCTCCCGCCGCTCCTCCCTCCCGCCCGCCGCTCCTCCCTCCCGCGTCCCGGGCGGGCTCCGTCCACCTGTCCGGCGGGCGGGGGCGCGGGTGCGGGCGCGGGGAGGAGCCCGGCTGGCCGGAGCACCGGGCGGCGCCGCGGCTTGCTCCCCTTCGCGGTCCTCCCTCCCGCGGGGGGCGCAGGGCAGCCCCGCGGGCCCCATGCACGCCCCCGGGGGCCCCTGACCGTGCACCCTGCCCCCCGCGCGCCATGCGCCCTCCCCACCGCGTGCGTTCCCCGCGGTCTGTACCTTTACTCTGGGGAGGGTTCTGACTTCGGTCCCGGAGGACGTTGATCTGGTAGACGGCTCCGTAAGGCTCAAAAAGTTCTTTCAGCTCCTTTTCCGACCAGGACCGGGGAATCTGTCCGACAAACATCTTAATGGCATCTGGGTCTGGCTGGTCTGAGTGATCCAAAGCGCCGTTCATCTTGTTGGCTGTGCCGTTACTGTCAAAAAGGGAACCGGGAGCCAGAGTTAGGGCTGCACGGTGAGGGACAGGAAGAAAAAAAAATGGGGGTGGGGTGGGGGCGGGGAGGCGGAAGGAGGAGGAAGAGGAGCACGGGGCAGAGTGCCTAATGAGTCGGAGAAATTTGATGAACTAAAACAAAGCCCAGGCACCATTAGGTTGCTCCGCGGCGGCGGCGGCTGCGGGCTCTCACTGCAGGCTGCTGTTCAGCATCGCCGCCCGAGCACAGGGCAGCGCCCCGCCGGCTGTCACCCGGGGCGTGGACATCTTGAAGCCCGGCTCGCGAGGCAGCTGCAAGTTAAGTGCAGGTCTCGCTCTGCAAGGCTGCCACCAACGCATCCGCAGCGCTATCAGCCCCACATTGGCTCTCGTGTGCAAAGAAGGGCAGGGCTGGATTTCTGCTGGATTCTCCCCCTCCACCCCTCGCCGGCCCCCACCCCTCTCCCGCCCCGCCTTTTGGAGGTTTTTGGAAGAGACGAGAGAGGTGGTAATAATAAAGTCACATGAAAAGAAAATGAAACACTTGGCAGCCCGTCAGATGACTAATGCAAGATGCTGGTGATGAATTTGCAGAGTGCGAGGCATCCATGTGTGCATCAAATTAGTACGTTGTTGCTGCTCAGAATGGAAAGTGCTCCAGCAATGCGGCTGGGCGCAGCTGATTGGTTACCCACACTGGAGAAAAGGGCCGGGGCGGGGAGGGGGCTCCCATTTAAAAAGCACATTGTTTATGGGATCCAGGCACAAAGGGTTTAATTCAGAGAGGCAAAGGAGATCTCAGAAATGCCTGCTTTGTGCTGGGGGAAAAATGCAGCCTCGAAAGTTGAGTTCCCACTAAAGGACACTGAATATTTCAAATCTTTCACACTCCATAAATTGCTCTCTGTATATCTGACTTCCAGATGTTGCACTTGAGTTCTAAACAATCACACGTTTGGGAGAGAAAAGAGGAAAGTCTGCCTTTTCTTCTCCTAGCTTCAGTAAATATTTGGGGCTGATACAAAGAGCAAGACCATAAGCTTTTACATATCAATCTTCTTTAATGCTGTTTTCCAAAACCCTCATTTGGAAGAGAGAATGCTTGTTTAGAATTCTGCAATTCTAAGTCCTCATCATGTAATATGATGATGAAGGCATTCATTTTGTATCCGGATCCCTGTTTGAGCTGCAGTAAATAGTAAAGCAAAATCCCCTACCTCTTTCATCCACCTCCCGCCCCCACCCGCCCAGCACACTAAACCCACCTACTCTGCCAAGTGACAAGGCTGAACGCTCTGAGCAGCCTTCATCTGTAGTACCGTGCTCTTGGTTTAGTATCTCACCCTGTGAAAATAACATGCGCCCAGACAAGTGCAAAGCCAGTAGACACGGTACCTGCAAGGCCAGGTCTGTGACCATCCGCCAGCCCTCAGCCCAGGCGGCAGAAAGGCCACAAAGGGGCCGCATGGGCTAAAACTTCGCTGCAAATGGCAGGTGTCATTTCAGAGTAGCTTGGGGGTAATCATTTAGAAGACAGTCAAGGATCTCAAGTGGGGGCTCTTATTAGGTTAAAGCCAACAGTCCAGCAGCACCAGAGCACCTTAAATCTGCTGTGGACCTAGGCTAGTCCTGGATAAAAAAGACCCTCCCGGATGGCTACACAAACAAAAAGCCTGTGGAAAGCAGAAATCCTGAATCTAATTTAATCCCGAGAGGAAAATGATGGCAAATACTCCTCACTAGGGTCCTGGCTTCAATTTCTACTTCTTCTCATTCCCTCTATTTTACCACTTAATTTTTTTTTTTAATGCTCGAGATAAACCATTAGACTAACTTGAACCCCTTCTAGAGGTTTCTCTAATCAACCTTATTGTTATAAAAAATGTGCTGAATAAAATATTGAGCGCAACGTCTTCTTTCAGCAATCTAGGTGCAATGGAATGCTTCTTTCTAGTAGAGGTTGACCGCTTATCTTTTCTTGGGCACCTATGCTCCTTCACCAATCACCCTTTGAGAATTCATGAGCACTGTAACCCACCTCTGGCTGGGTGGAGGTGGTGAAGCCCCATGCAGAACAGAATGTGGTGCTCACAGCTCTTTGAGAAGGGAGAATGTGGCAAGACGTATTTCTGGGACAGGAAAGGCTGTGGCTACGGCTGCTGACAGTCAGCCAGGATCAAAAGAGGAAGGCACTGCCACAGGTCTCAGCCAACAGGGAACGGAAGTTCCAAACACAGGGCTGTTGCATCTCATCTGTACAGAGCACAGTGAATGCAATGGAGGAGGTGGGTGCCGGGATATTAGTCCTAATGTCTGAAGTTAGGCTAGAGCAAGCATTCCCTAAGTGCCCTCCCAATGAGGGGCCAGTTTCACATCCTCGAAAAATACTCATGGAGGCACGTAAAGGAAGGGAGGCGGACAAGAGGGCTTGGCCCCATACCTTTGCTCTTTATGTCGGTAAGTATGTATTTATAACCCTTCTCCTATCATCCATCCTATAGAGATGCCTGCAGACCTCTAATCATCCTGAGGCAGGGCGCTGTCAGGGCTCAGGACCTGGGCTCTCAATCCAGGCACCAGCGCTTCCTAACTGGGCCAGTCTGGGCCTTAAACTCTTCATCTCTAAAATGGGAGCAACAGACGCCATCTCAGAGTCAGGTGTTCATTACCGAACACGGCACACAGTAAGTGTCAAGAAGTGTTAGCTTTTTCTGCTGTTAAGTCTCTTCTTGCTTGCACTTGATATACTGGAGTGAGTGACCATTACAAGCCTTCTTCTCCACCCCAATTTTTTTCATAATAGAGACTCAAACAATTCCTATGGTGCCCGGTGCTTTGCTTTCATTATTTTTGTAATCCTTGTAACAATCCTATCAGAAAGTATTATTTTCTAGACACAAATATCTAAGAAGTAAGTTCCTTTCCCAAGATTACTGGCTCATGTATTGTAAGAAGAGAATTCAACCCTAGGCCCAATGGACTTCGAAGCACAAAATCTTTCTAAATCCATCATGTGGCCAAACACTATGTCAGCTCTCCCTTGGGCTGAGAGTGAATAGCTCAGGGTAAATCTCAGACAAGGCCAAGGGCAAATCCTACTGGGTTCCGGGAATCACACTGCTGAATAAAAGGCAGTACAAACACACACACACACCCTTTCTACTATCTGTGAAAAGAAGGGGGCCAAGTGTTGAACTTGACAATCCATGAAGACTATGTTAAAAGCCACATTTTCTCCATCACTTAACAATGTCTCCATCTCCACATCCCCTCCCTCTCTATACCCAACAGGGTCATATCCATGAACCCCTCTCATCCATATGTACACATCATTTCCCAAGTACTCGCCGTTTTGCAAACAACTGTTCCAATGACTACCATCAAATGCTAAGAGCATGACCATCACGGAAGTCGATCTAACAACGACTAGTTATTCTACAAACCGTCACAACAGCAGAGCTTCTCAATCAAAAGCTTGGGTGCAGGACAGGTGGTTCTAGCCCCACTGACCCCATGTTGCTGAATCCCATGCCCAGATCCTAATGGTACCACAACAGACTGGTTAACTTTGTCTGAATGCATGCAAGCTCCTCCTCCTCTGTTTGTTTGGACTTTTTTCTTTTAACGTTTATTTGCTTATTTTGAGAGAGAGTGAGTGAGTGAGAGAGACAGAGTGTGAGGGGCAGAGAGAGAGGGAGACACAGAATCCAAAGCAGGCTCCGAGCTGTCAGCACAGAGCCCAACACGAGGCTCAAACTCACAGACCTCGAGATTAGGACCTGAGCAGAAGTTGGAAGCTCAGCTGACTGAGCCACCCATGTGCCCCTTAAGGTCCTCCTCCTTTGGACTCTCGGCTTTCTTCCTGGCTGATGCTCATTCTTAGCAGAGGCTTACTGACTTCTTTTGTCCTCATGAGGCTGAACGCGTTGCTATTTCTAGGGAAGCCAGAAATTATGTGTCCAACAGTTAAACCTTCGGGGGTACTTGCCGGAGGCCACGGAGAGCTGGTGTACTCTTCACAGAGGGGTAATTATGGGAGCAGATAACACAAATCTCAGGAAGATCTTCTGTTTTCTAGAATTTGACTTCAGGCTTAGAAGATCAGACTAGCTCACTTCTATGTATTCCCTGACCATCCTCAACACCTGGATAATGCAGGAATTAGATGCAAATTCAAATGTTTATGGGGTGCCTACTCTCAGCCAGAAAACTCTGCCAGGTACTTGACATACAATATCTCAAACAGCTTCACAAAGCTGACATTATCATCCCCGTGTTGGAAATGACGCAACTGAGAGTCACAGAGGTAAAGTGGCTTTTCCAATGTCCCACCCCTGAGAAGAGGTGTTTGCAGAGCCTGGACACAGATGTGAAGGCCACCTGTCATTGCTTAGTATTTCCATGAACTGGGTTGCTCTAGGGTGAGGCTTCCTGAAGCCTCCGTGGCCACTCCCAGGCCCTCGACAGAACCACACACATCTCTGTTGGCACCTCACCTACAAACTACAAGACACTGAACGCCAAGTCTGCGTTTGCTATTGGCGATGAGCCAAATATAAGGCTCCTCTCGGACAGATGCCATATGGAATTAGACCATAAGCCAGAGAGTAGCAAGCCAGCAGGCACTGGTGGTATCAGTCTCAGAGCCAAGACGAAAATATAATGATGTTTGGGGGAAAAAATTTGAGTACTTGCTTTTTGCTTTTAGCACAGGCACCGACCTACTTCCCTACTCTATTTTTGCATAAAGAAAACTAGATCAACAAAGGATATGCAAAATCTTCTGACACTCCTCTAAGCAGTACAATATTACAAAAATTGCAATAATTCATTCGACATATTATTGTTACTAATTCCAAGACAATAAGCTTTTACATGGCCCAGTGCATTGCAGGTTTCCTTCCAGAGAATGGTAACAAAACCATGGATAGTTCTATCCTTTCATCTTGTTGCTTGGAAAGCAACTTTCTGTATTCTGTCTCCTTTAATCTGTAGGAAAGG